CTTGGGCAAAGACCGTCTTGAGGTGTGCTGCATGGTCGGTGTCTGCTCGGGATTTGACGATCATGTCGTCCATATACACCTCGAGCATGTCGCCTATCTGTTTATGGAAAACCTTGTTCATCATGCACTGGTAAGTTGCCCCGGCGTTTTTCAGTCCAAAGGGAATTACGTTGTAGTAATAGTTGCCCGAGCTGGTCATGAAAGCCGTGCAGTGTTTTTCGCTCATGGCCATCGGGATTTGGTTATAGCCCGAGTAGGCATCCATGAACGACAACGTTTTGTAGCTGGCCGAGTTGTCGACCAGCATGTCTATGTTAGGCAAAGGGAAAGCATCTTTCGAGCAAGCCCGGTTGAGATCGGTATAGTCAACACACATCCTCCATTTTCCATTATTCTTTTTAACGAGTACAACGTTTGACAGCCAGGTGGAATACCGGGCTTCAGAAATAAAATTTGCCTCTAGGAGGTCTTTTACAGCTTTTTCAGCAGACTCCGTTTTTTCTGGAGACTGCCTACGTCTACGTTGTACTACGGCCCTAGCGGCAGAGTCTATGGCGAGGTGGTGACAAGCAACCTCAGGGTCGAGTCCGGGCATCTCCGCGGCGCTCCAGGCGAACATGTCGGAATTCTCGCGCAAGTAGGCCTTGATTTGCTTCCTTGCCAGGTCGGGGAGATCTTTGCCAATCTTCACTCCTTTGGTCGGGTCTGTGTCGTGGAGGACGAGCTCAAAATCCCCGTCCGGTATTGGTCGGAGTGGAATTTGCTCGCCGTTGAGAGGTTCGTCCTGGTCGAAACGAGTGTCCAGAGCTATAGAGTCGACCTTTGGTGGAGCTTTCTGGGCTTCTTCCTTGACGGACTCTTGCTTGTCGGGCTCCTGTCGTGTATTTTTGGCGGGCCTTGTCCCCACGTCGACAGTATCGCGTCCCTTAGATGCAGCGTTGAAACACCTCCGAGCAGCGGCCAGGCCTCCTTGGATAGTAGCTACCCGTGCCCTTTTGGTGTATAATTTCATCTTTAGGTGGACGGTCGAGGGCACCACTGTTAGTTCTGCCAGTGTTGGTCTCCCCAAGATGCAGTTGTACAGAGACGGGCAGTCGATGACGAGGAAGCGTACTTTGACCTGTCTTGTCACTGTTCCTTCACCGAATGTAACCAGGAGCTCGACATACCCCCAAGGCTTGGAGGTCGAGCCGTTGAAACCTTATAAGTCCGACCCTACATACGGCGAGAGATGTGAGTCATCCAGCTGCAGAGTTCGGAACAGTTGGCTGTACATCACGTCGACGGAACTCCCTTCGTCGACGAGGATGCGATGCACATCAAAATTGGCCATTCTTTCCCTTATCAGTAAGGGGATTACCGCATTTGGGGCTCCACCGGGGAGCTCTTCTAGGTAGAAGGTGATGGGCTCTGACCTGCCCTTCACCCTCTCGAACGTCACTGTTGCGGGGGCGCCGCGTCGACCAGCTCGTTCAGCTTCCTCTTAGCCGAATTAATGGTCAAGTCGTTGAATCTGCCGCCGTGGATGACCATGGCGGAGGGGAAATATTCCCACATGCTATGAGTTGTGAGCGGCTCCTGCAGGTGCTCGGGGATGTCGAAGTCCTCAGGCCTGGTCACAGAGAAGGCGGTCTGGATGGGGACCGACTCGTTAGAAGGTCGGGCATCTTCCTCCGACTCCCTTGTCTCCTGGACGTCACGACGAGGAGCGTCACTTCGCCGGTATTGTGCGAGCCTCCCTCCCTTGATGAGGGTTTCGATGGCGTCCTTGAGGTGGACGCAATCCTCAGTCAGATGACCATGGCTCCTGTGGTACTGACAATATTTGTTCTTGTCTGCTCCGGGCTTGGCGGGAGCAGGTCGGGGACGTTTGACACCGCCGTCCTTAAAGTCAGTGCTGGCACACTCCGCCAAAATGCGCTCGTGGGAGGCTGCGAGCGGAGTGTACTCGGTGAAACGCCCCGAGGGTCCTCTTTGTTCTCGGACTTCCCGGGGTCTGTCTTCTTTTCTTTTCTCCCCGGTTCGACGAGGAGGAGGAGCTTCCTGGCGCGAGTTGCTGTTGGACCCGCGAGTCCTGGGGTCTCGGGCTCTGTTAGCCTCTTCCCTCTCCTCGTAGTCCATGTATGCCTGAGCTTTTTCGAGGAGGGCATCGAATGTCCTGGGTGGTTCGATGCCCACGACTTTTCTGAATTCCGTGCCGTGGAGGAGCCCCCTCTCCAGCAAATATCTCTTCATATGGTCCGCGCAGGGGACCTGTATAGCTTCCCGGTTGAAGCGATTGATGAACTCCCTCAAGGTTTCATCCTGCCTTTGGATGATGGCCTCGAGAGCCGCCTCGGTCTTTGGATGCCGCCGAGAAGCTGTGAATGAACTGATGAACTGGTTCTTCAGGTTTCGCCACGAGGTGATTGAGCTCGGGGCGAGTCCTTTGTACCAGTCCATTGCCGCCTTCCTGAGAGTCGTGGGGAATAGTCGGCATTTGATGGGGCCCCCGACATTATGGTAATGCAACATAGCCTCGAACCCGTCTATATGGTCGACCGGGTCCACGACTCCATCGTACTCCTTCAAGTGCGGGGGTTTCTCCATGCCCGGGGGGATGGGTGCTTCCATGATAGCTTGCGACAGGGACCGCGGGGGTCGTCCTCGTCGCTCCTCTCCGGAGACAGAGATGGGGACCTGTAATACTGTCGGGCACGACGGTCCAGGTCGTGCTGAGTCTCTCTCGAGCGCGATGCTCGTTGGTTGAATCTTACACGCCCGTCTCCGGAGTGCCTTCTTTCCTGTCTCACCGGATCGCGACTAGGTCCTTCGACTTGGATGATGGGATGCCCTTCCAAATGGGGATGTTTCCCCATTGGTCGGGGTGACTGGCTTCGAGAGGTTTCTCTGTAATGTCTCCGCGGGGGAGACGGGAGTCGGACTTCAGTCACTCGAGAAGGTGGAGTATGGGGCCTCCGATGCCTTCTCGGGGGTCTTCGGTCGTCTTCAAGCGCCCTTAGTCTTTCCCCTTGGGCGAAGATGAGATAGTTTGTCTGATTAATCGCTGTGAACAGCGCTTGAGTTGTGGCATCCGCCCCGGTGGGGACGGGGACTTCCTGGAACTGAGCAGCCCGATAGTTCGCGAAAGTTGCCTCGTCTTCTTCGAGTGGCGGAGGGACCGAGGAAGACGACGCAGTAGCTCCGTCGCGGTAGGTTGAAGGTCTGGGGACAGTTGACGCAGGGATGGTGTTGTGACCGGGGTTGCCGGTGTTGTCAAGGTGTCCGTTTTTGTCCGTGGGGCCGTTGTTGGTGTCGACGACACAGATGTTCTGTTCATCGCGACCTTGATCAGCCATGATAGCGGTAGTTGAGTTTGAGCTTTGGTCTTTGAGTTTTGCAAGACGGGGAAGCTAGTTTCCCACAGACGGCGCCACTGATCTAACCTGATCAGACTTGGACCGTCACAGCTGGCTCTGAGCTGAAGTTTTGAACAAGGTGGAGGGGGGGGGGGGGGGGGGGGGTACCTGCAAGGCACTCTGATGCTGAAGTAAGTAAGAGCACGAGCAGGCAAGAGTATGAGTATGGGTAAAAGGATGAATACCTGACCCTCTGGGAACAGAGGGTATTTATAGCCCCCAACGCTGGGCCAAGGTTTCTTCATTGGCCCGGGCAGGTTTGGCCCAATAGAGGAACTGCCAGGTTCTACGTGTGTAGTGGGGACCCGCACGTGGTCCCCTTCCTGGATGTTCTGCGTGAAGTACGGACGAACGAGGACGCGGTCTTTTCGGGATCTATGTGATAGTGTAGTGGACAGAGTCTCCCCTAGGAGGAGTGCTCGAGCTGGGGTCGAGCAGGGAGCCATGAAGACGAGGACGTCACACTAGCAGAGAATGTCGGGCACGGATGTGGCCTCTTGCTCGGCGTGACCCCTTGCAAGACCGTTTGGGTTGGGCCTTCACCATTGCTTTTGGGCCAGCTCGGCCCAGTCCAGAACAGTATCCTCCTAGGAGGAATCAGAGTTCCATTTCATAGTTCACAGTTTTTGGTTGGTGTTTTTTATAAGATTGCATATAATTGCTTTCGAATTGACCTTGAACATTGTCTGGGTTGTAAGTTGAGTGATCGTAGAGGCAGTTCGTAGTTAATTTGAAAACAAAGCTATTTAATCCTTTTTGGAAATACTATGGAAGTTTTGTTATGTTAGTAAAAAATGTTTTATTGTTGGTTAGTTGTATTAAGACGTAGAATGGGGAGAGTCTGATATAGTCTCCTTGTCACGTGGCCAGATATTGGCCACGTGTCGCTCGCGGATGGTGAATTTGGTAAGTTGCATGGATTTGAATTTTTTGATTTTGAATAATAAACCAGTAGACGATATGTCATCCTATTTAATTACTCTAAGGTGGTCATTCTATTATTTATAGCATGCTTGAATTAATCATTTTAAGAAGTATTTGTTTTAATGTATAGACTAATGGAGATTTCGTTTACAAGTGATGTAATTGAATCGAAGCTTCCAGAAAATACATATGATTAATAAGTCAAATAATCTAAAAAATAATGATCTAAACTGTTTTGTGCTCCTCGATATTAAAGTAAATTAGTGACACCAAATTAATTAAAAGTTGACAACAAAAATGAAATATGATAAGGGAGTGTAAGATAAAAAATGGGAGTGCGACTTAGTAAAAGGATAGAAACTCTGGCCCAAGGCCTAAACTAATACAAAACCAAAATCTATTATTAACAATTAATTAAAAAATTGATAAAACATAATAAGAATGAAAGAGAAATTCCTGTAAAAGAGAATGGTTTTCTATATTTACAACCCACGATCAATTGTAGGTCGAACGTGGCGTTTAAAGAAAAAAAACAATTAAAGAAATAACATATATACTTCACGACTCAGTACCTGAACAGACCCTAATTGCATTTGTATCTTCTTCTCAACATTCTACCCTTTTCTGGAAATGTCAAGCAGCAGACAGAAACAGTTGTTGTTGGTTGACAGGCGGTTGCTACGTCGGCAAAGAGGCAGAGGGCAAAGATGAAAACTGAAGGCGAAACTCTGATGCTGTTAAATCGGAGAATTTAGTTATCCCGTGCTCCGCGGTTGGATCGAGCTTCTGGTCGAGCTGCGCGTTAATTCCGGTGATCGGTTGGCCTCGTGGAGGGATGCAGCACGGAACTGGGTCATGTGCAAGTCCAAGCTGTAACGCGGGAGATGCGGTGGTTTGACGCATTTTGATTCCAATTTCAGCTTTATTTTTCTTCCGATCCTTCTTCTTTTCTGTACACAAAAAAAGTAAGAGAAGTTCTGCTCATAAAGAGAAGAGATACAATAAAACATTTCTTGTTATTTTGATTCTACCTCTTGTCTTTCTTATATTATCTCCTGCTGCAAAATCCAAAAGAAAACAAATAGCAGTAATAATGGTATTTTGAATTTTGTTGTCTTTTGAAATTGAAATCAGTGATTGTTGAAATTGTATGTTTTGTAATAAACCAAAAAATCTTCGCAAACAATAAGAGAATAGTAACCATGTATTCAACATTATAGTAAAAAAAAAAATTCAGGACACAAACTTGGCACATGTAATTCGATTGATTTTATAGATGACAAACAAAAAAAAAAGAAGAGGAATTCAAAAAATTTAATATATATATATATATATATATATATATATATATATATATATATATATATATATATATATATATATATATATATATATATATATATATATATATATATATATATATATATATATATATATATATATATATATATATATATATATATATATATATATATATATATATATATATATATATATATATATATATATATATATATATATATATATATATATATATATATATGCTGTTTGTTAGAAACATGAGTCCATTTATGAATTTTTAACTTTTAATATAACAACGATGAATAAAGTAAGAATCATTAGTTAGAGACTATGAGGATGATTCTTAGTGCTCTTGTGAATGGCTACTGAGAAAGTATTTCTTTTAGAAGAAAAAGTGAAAAGATAAGTTTATAAACCGTGAGAAATAAGTTGGATGTGATGTGTATATTTGCGGATCTTGTGTGTGAATCCGTGAATGTAAGAAATTGTTATTATAAAAAGAAATATAATAAACCAAAACATCCTCAATTTCATATCATATGATTAAAATAAAGAATTAGAGATAAAAGATAATGGCCTCATATGAAATCCTCGGCCAAAAACATCAATAGTAAAAGAGATTTTGAAAACCATAAATTTGTTAAAAGAGAGAAAAAAACTAGAGTGTGTGAGTGTTATTGAACTGTGGATTTTTTGGATGAAAAACAAGGACAGTGAGGAGTCCTATTTATAGAGTGGTAATTAGGTTAAACAAACTTAACAAGTAAGTTATCCAAAGTGAATGAAAATCCCAAGCCCGATTTTCAAAAAGGAAAGAAAATTAGTAACAAAAAGAAATAAAAATAACATCACAAGTGCTCCACAATAGATTCGAACCCACGAACTTATACTTTCAAGATTTATTCTTTACCAATTGTGCTTTGTTACTCATTTGTAAGCAAACTCAATTTGAAGGAATATGAAAGGTGTGCAGATATTTGCTATTTTAAAAATACAAATAATTTGAAATGAATCATTATATTTTTAAATAGGTTTGGAAACGAATATTTATAAAAATCAAATAATATTATAAAAAACAAAGTTCTAAAATATTTTTGACTGGACTTGAGAACGAACGTATACAAAAATCAAATAATATTATAAAAACAATGTTTAAAATATTTTTGACTGTAGAAATAAAAAGGGAGATAAAATTTGGGATATGATAGGGTGTAGAAAGAAAGAGTGCCAAAAGCCCAAAGAGGAGATCCATGTGATCCAGTGTGAATAACTTCTGAGAGGACACGATTGTCATCTGGACTATGAGGTTTTTGATAATGATCAACTAGTTGTAGATGAGGGTTTATGATAAGGCGTAGAGGTAAGGCACACTGGAACAGGTAGGGTGTCACCATCCCATTGGTGACACCTATCATCTGAAATTAAAAAAAAACAAAAAAAAAACAAAAGGAGGAAAACACCCTCTGTAACACTTCATTCTCTCTTTTTTTTACTCTTCACAAATGTTCTCTCTTTTCCCTGTCTTCTCTAATGGGTCCTCGTCGGAGACGATGGATTGGCCGCGCCAGAAATCGCCTCCACGATGGCGATGGAGAAAGCAAAGATCTGATCCTAAATTGTTTACATTTTTTTGATTCATCTCTTCCTCCTATTTACTAATCTGTGATCTATTTTGGCATAAAACCTAAGATCTAACCTAGATCTAAAGGGTGGGTTTTGGAAACCCTAAGTGCTCAGATCAACAAGAACCGATGAATATGATGGAGAAATGTTAATATAGAAAGTAGAAATGAAAGGAGAAAAGAGAGACGGAGGCTGAAATATGCAGATTCATGTGTGTTCCAACCTCTTGAGGTTTTCAGTAATATCTTTCCAATCTTGTTTGGATATCAGTTTTCTTTGAGTTTGGTGGGGAACTTGCGATTTTCTTGTTCTCTTTTCGAATCTGAAGGGTTTGTCTGGAAAATGATGAATGAAACAAATTTAGGGTTTGTAGTTTGGCTTTTTGTTGTTTCTGTATATTTTTGTGTGAATTGTATATTGTGTTTTGTCCCTTCTGTGAACAATTTTGAAGGTTTTTTAAATCTGCCTGGTATATGGTTCTGTGGTTGTGCTGTGATATATTTGTGAACTATGCCCCCCTTGAACTGTTTGTTGAGCTTTCTTTTAAAGAAAATGATGGAAGAGAAAGATCCTTAGGGCTTGCGTGTTCTGGTATCTGATTATTCTGATATGTTAACTTTGTTGTACATTGTGACTGCACTTTTGCTATGCTTTGCTGCCCCTGTTACTTGTTGGCCCGATTGCTTGCTGGTTTGGATTTTTTGTACTATCCTTTCAGTAACTCTTTTGGTTGAGTTGAGACATGACACTCTTTTTACTGTCCTTGTACTTGTACAGTAGATTTTATTTATGAATTTTTTATCTTTACTATGAACCAAGATTATCCTTTTCTTGTGATTTGTAGTAGAGGTGATTGGGCATGTGATTGATACTTGAATCTGATTCTGTTTATAAAATAATGAGGCTTTTGTTGGGCTTGAATTCGTGATATTTTGACTTGCTGAATTGTGCTTGGGATGTGATTTTTGTAATTTGGTATTGGGCTGGAACTGTGATGGAATTCTGTTTTGGACCTCTTTTGAATTTGTCTTTTGTGAACCAATTTATTTGTGATTTGCAATAGACCTAGGCCTATGATTAAATATGGTTTTTTGTATGAGGCTTTCTGGCGCATGAACATGATTGAGAAACAACCTAAAGTATGATTCCTTAAACAAAACCCTAATGATGAAATTGAAGAGAAAACTCTTTGAAATTTTCTTGTTTGTTGTTCAAGTTTTGATGATTGCTAACCCATTCTCTTTCTTGTTTCATGTGATGTTGATGAGGAATGCATGAAGATGGAAAGGCGAAGAAGCTGTGGATGCCATAAAGAGCTTGTAGGGAAATTGGAAGAAGTTTTGACTAATTCATTAGCAACCAAAGAGCAACTTCGTTAGATTTAGGGATTCCATTTGAATTTGTATTGTAAAAAACTTAGGACTTTAGGCTATGAAACTTGCATTCTTCTTGTAAATTGAACGAAATAATCTTGAGAATTTTAGGCCATGGTCATTTTGGAAACTCTTGTAAATTAGTGAAGTACTTGGCCTTTAAAACTTCAATTCTATTTTGTAACTTGAAACCTCTTTTGTCTTAAGTATTGTAATGAAACAAACATAAGAAAACAAATAACTTTTCTTGTAAGCCTTGGTAAAACATGTAGGTTTCGGATGAATGTTGCATTTATAATAATCACAACTTTGCAAATGTGTTGAGTCTTGAATAAAATTTGTCATTGGTATGACAATGAATGACTTTTAGAGAAAACTTGAATGATCATGAAAATGATAAAGTGATGTTTCTTGAACAAATCTTGAATTCAAATGATATTCCTCTTAAGATAATCCAAAGCAAACTTTAATTTCATAATTCAAACTTCTTGAATGAAACCCAAAGCAAATGACTTATATCATAAACAAAGAAACAGGCCCAACCTTCAATTGATGACCAAGAACCAAATAGTCCATAATATCCCCTTTGTCCTTCATGAAAGAATGGATCCACTACATACCATGATTAATGATCTTAAAAAGTGCATTCCCTTTTAAGAAATTTTGAAGATATGAAGACTTGAAATACGTAGAGATATTTGTCATGAAGAAAATAAATAACCCTTAGTTGAAATTAGTGACAATGTCATAATCCACTTGACTAAGGGACATATTGAAATTTTTTTTATGGAAGAAAGAATCTTCAATGATTACGAACATACAAAAACCCTAATTTCACATTTCAGTACTTGTAGTCTCCAATCTTCAGATGAAACAATAGACAAGTTGAGGTTTCTTAAGGCATGAGAAGCCTTGGTAGCTTTGAGTAGTTAGAAACCCTAAGATAATGTCTTGAATAAAATGGAGGGAAATTGTTTGGGTACAACACCTATCACAACCTAGGGGATAGATATTTGAAAACGTTTGTGCGTTTATCACGACCTAGAGGATAAACAACACAAAGATAGATTTATGTATTCATTACGACACAAAGAATGAATAACATAAACCCAACAATTTGCACATCTACCACGACCTAGAGGATAGATGATTGAAAAATTTGTGTGTTTATCGTGTCCTAGAGGATAAACGATACAAGGGTAATCTTACATATTCATCACGACCTAGAGGATGAACAACGTAATCCTGAGAATTCACATATCTACCAGAACCTAGAGGGTATATAATTGAAGAGTGTTTTGGTAATCAAATCTTATATAACTAGACCAAAGATAAGATCAGAGTTCTACCGGTTGTGTCTGTTCTTAACCAAGGTATTTGTTCATTTTATGGATTGAATAGTTCGATGATGAGCCCCAAGAAAGTTTGTAATTTTATCCAAAGATGCACTCAGTAAATGCCATGCATAATGCCCTAAGCTGATATGCGACCCAAAATCTATATGCATCGAGTATTTGTATATGCCCCAAATGTAATGTTTGTGTATGATCCAAATGTAATGTTTGTGTATGCCCCAAATATGATGTTTGTATATGCCCCAAATGCTGGTTGTGAATTTTTTTGTGTTCTCTCCTTTTAAACCATTGGTCTTGTGTTACCAACTCCCCAATGTTGTATGTTTTATTAGTGTGGTATTTAGAATTGATAAAAATGAATGGTGTCCGCAGGATTTTTATATTTTTATCGCATGCGTAGGCATGGACGTAGGCGTGAATATGGCTATGATCGCAGGCGTGGATGTAGTCATGGATGTAGGCGTGGATTTTCTTTCAATGTTTTTCTAACCAAAATTCTTTTTGATGTCATATCAAATTATTTTATTTGTCAAATCCCCAAGATGGTTTCAATGTAGTATTC